CATAAAGATCAAAGTCAAAGGCCCTGCAATCTCCTCTCTAGCTTCCCAGAGAATCCTAGGATAAATCCCATCTGGCCCAGGGGACTTATCTGTTTTCACAACTTCCAGAATTGCTAACACCTCCTCCTTATGAACCTCAATCCCATCTAGTCTAATAGCCTGTATCTCAGTATTCTCCTCGACAACATTGTCTTTTTCCTGTGTGAATACTGACGAAAAATATTCATTTAGCACCTCTCCTATCTCTTCGGACTCCACGCACAACTTCCCACTACTGTCCTTGACTGGCCCTAATCTTACTCTCGTCATTCTTTTAATGTGGTATACTGTATCAGCTGTTCCTGTTGTGGCCTCCACTACATCGGGGAAACCAAGCGGAGGCTTGGGGACCGCTTTGCAGAACACCTAAGCTCGGTTCGCAACAAACAACTACACCTCCCAGTCACGAACCATTTCAACTCCCCATCCCACTCCTTGGACGACATGTCCATCCTGGGCCTCCTGCATTGCCACAATGATGCCACGCGAAAGCTGCAGGAACAGCATCTCATGTTTCGCTTGGGAACCCTGCAGCCCAAGGGTATCAATGTGGACTTCACAAGCTTCAAAATCTCCCCTCCCCTGACCGCATCCCAAAAGCAGCCCAGCTCATCCCCGCCTCCCTAACCATTCCTCCCACCTCAAGCCCCACCCCCATCTCCTACCCACTAGCCTCATCCCGCCTCGTTGACCTGTCCGTCCTCCCTGGACCGACCTATCCCCTCCCTAACTCTCCACCTACATTCATCTTTACTGGCTCCAACCCCGCCTCTTTGACCTGTCTGTCTCCTCTCCACCTATCTTCTCTTCTATCCGCCTCCCCCCTCTCCCTATTTATTTCAGAATCCCCTTCCCCTCCCCCATTTCTGAAGAAGGGTTTTGACCCGAAACGTCAGCTTTCCTGCTCCTCTGATGCTGCTTGGCCTGCTGTGTTCATCCAGCTGTACACCTTGTTATCTCAGATTGAAAAATATCTCCAGCATCGGCAGTTCCTACTATCTCATGGGATCTTTGGACAGATTTGAATGGTATCATTTTCTTTTAAAGCATATTGTGTGTTTGCATCTCCCTCCCTGGGGACTGGGCTTTATGCTATGATTAGAATTCCAGCTGAAACTAATTGATTCGGGACAACCTGCAACAGAAGTTGTAGCTGGAACGTCTTGCTTCTTCATTTTGACCAGGCTATTTTCTGCCTGTTTGTTTTATTTGGTGAAAAACTGGTTGGTGAACATATGAGTAAAAAATTCCAAGTTCCGTGTCTGCACAAGTTGTTGTTGCATCACAAGGCAAACTTATCAAATAAATCATTGATGGATTTATTTACAAGCGTTTAATCAATTTCATTCAACAATAGATCATTTGCATTGAAAATGATCCTTTTGGAATTAAGTTATTAGAGAATTAAATATGACAAAATCGGTATCTTCTTACAGGTTGGCACCATGTAGATTATTTCATGGGAAAACTTTCATGGGTGCCCTGTGGGGGATTTGCATTCAGGGGAGTCCAAAACTTCTCCCAGGTGGCCTCTCAGCCTCTCCTGAGCTATCTTTAGTTTTTCAGGGTGCCGGTGAGGCCTAGAGAACCACACCTCCCCACACCCCAATTGTGGCCCTCAAGTGGCCAATTAATTTTGACACGGTGGGAGGAGGTCAAGGATGGAGTTGAGTGGAAACCAGGTAGCGCTGGGCAGGAAGTGAGGAATGCCCCACATCTCTGATATTCTTGGTTTTTCTTAATATATTAATTTCTAGCTTAGAATGCATAAGCATAACATATGTTGTAAATGTTCACAAGTATTTTTAAGTTTTGGAATCAATTATACTAGAGCATTGGTTATGAGAACTTTGTGAACAAATGGTTGGAGATACATTAGTGAGTACATTTGCTGGTCAATTAAACTTGCGGTGCTGCCTGTACTGGAGATTGAAACACAATATGTAGACTTCCATGAGAATTCTAAATCTTCAGAACCTGTTGACTTATTGTTCTTGATACTGAACAATGTACACAATTAGACTTTTTAAAAAGTCGTCTCTCTATTAACGATATATTGATCCCAATGTAATCACCATTTCTTGGCATCGACTTCACTTACAACTATTTGGTTGTATTCAATGATTGCTAAAATTAAGATTTTTCCAGTTAAGCTTTCTTACTTAGATTTTAGATATGGGATTCTGGCTTCTTTATAAGAAGATTTTGTCTCCAATCACTTTTAATGAAGTGAGAGTCGTGACTCACTTCTTCCGTTTACCCAAAATGTGCCAACCCTCAAATTATTATGGATGCATTTGCCGATAGTGGGACTCTTAGCTGACCATCAATACGGTTGGAAAGACTCATTTAGAAGGACTGTAATTCATTCCAGCATTCAACTTAAAATGTGAATAATCCTTAGTTTACAGACCACAGCCACTTTCACCTTTCAGATTCACTTGCATTGCTCATGTGGAAAAGCAGCAGGACAGTGATCCTCATGAACCATTTCTCACAGTTTATTAGTTGACTGGAACTGTCCTCCAAAGGCCATTACAAGCCAATCTGAGAAATCCTACTAGTCTTTTAACAGTATTTGGATGCACAGACCTGGCTTCTCACATTAAACTGTGCAGTCCAGTGAGGATGCTGGAAATCTGAAGTAATTAGATGACAGCTTTCCAGATTCACACAAAAGTGATTCAGTGGCATCATCAGAATTCTGGAGGGCTCACCATTTTTATTTCAGAATCCACTTATGTCACCCTTCTAAAGGAAAGTAATTATGGGACTCCACTTCCTTTGCTTGATAATCCACTCTAATGACTGAGTGGATGGGCTACTACTGGATTAATGCAAGTGATCCATTATTAACTTTAACTTTTTTGTTACAGGATTGCAAGATGCGTATTAGTAGTTAAATTCTAGTTGGTTGAAATAATTTGTTGATACTGCTATCAATGAAGCTGTGCTTTTGCCACAGGCATTTTCAATACTTATTATTTCATTTTCACAGTGAACAGACAGAAACCTGTTTCTGTGGCGCCTGAGATGCTCCTGTTGGCATCTTAATGATTTTATCAATGCTTTAGCTGCAACAGCTAGCAGGCAGAATGATGAAGTGTAGACTTTAATATTTTTGTTCAAAAGGTTTATTTTTAAAAACCCTTATGAATGTCCACACCCAAGTCCATAAATGGCTTGTGACCTTTAAAGCAAAGTGTAAACTGGTGTGCATCTACTGCAGAATGGGGACTTTCTTTGTAATTTGTTAAAGCCATGTTTGTTTCAAAATGACCTGAATAGTGAAAAAGTGAATTTTAAATTGGCCTGTTCCCAGATAACTAAAAATTAGTGAGTGTTATTTCAGAGAAATTAGGTATATTTTTCATTTTAACTGTTTCTTTTTGCAAATAAATTTATTTGTCTAACTGCATCTGTTCTTCTGTGATAGGCTCGTTACAGGAAAGATCAAATGGTACCTAAACAGCTGCCCTGCATCTCACCAGTCGAAAATCTGTTGAAGGACACCACAGATGGTTGTGCATTAGCTGCATTGATTCATTTTTACTGTCCCGATATTATCCGAATGGAAGGTGAGATTCTATTTTCCATCTGGGATCCTGTGTTAAAGAATTAACTGTTTTCCTGTAATGCTACGACTTGAATTGCATGTTGAGATCTTTACTTGATTCATTGTAATAATATTTGAGGTCTCTGGGAAATGGCTGCAAAGATTCTATGTAACCACATAGAACTGATTAAATACATGGCAATAATTAATTGTTTTGCTTCCTTTGGGCTTTCCTTACATAGAGCAAGACGTGGGGAATTCTGCTGGCCTTTCTGTTGTTACTTGCAGAATCACAGTCCATAATATTTCAGGACCTGTATGTCTAAGAACTTCTTAATTACCATCTTTGCCATTTTAAAATTTGGTACACTGTAGTCTCCTTACTTAGTCTAAAAGGTTCATGATTTCCCTTCCTTGTAAGTTGAAATGATAGTTCTTTTCTCTCCAGGACAAATATCTCTCTCGCTGATGAGCAGAGTGAAGAGAAATTTCCTCTTCTTGCAATAGTATTGTTGAAGTATCTGAGCACACTTTTAATTCTACTGCACATAACATGTACAGGAACTCTTCCAATTAATTCATTACAGATATTTTCTAATCAAGCTGTTCAGAGACGTTGTGACACACCTCTGGAGAACGTGGGACTTGAACCCACGCAGGCTGGCTAGCGACTGTCCCACAGGAGCCCATTAATGCATAATATTAAGAAGCTACAATTAGCCCAAAATGATGCAGCCATTGTTTCATTAAATGGTGCCCTGAAATGTTGCATTAAGTTAGGACCTCTGCAACATTAGCTGTACCCAGACCCCGTGATGGACTTCAGCCCATAAAGGCCTCTGCTGCAGATGTTTAGCTTTTAACTCTGTTTAATGTCAGCAGTATTTTAATCCTCCGCCTTTACTGAGATGTGCTTAGAAGTGATGAGCTTTTGTCGGCTTTCCAGCTGTATGTGAAGAAAATAAATGGAAACTAATTGAGCTAAAGGATTTCACTACCTGCTGTTTTTTTGTTGAAACTGGATGCCATGTGATTAAGAAAATTAACTGGGTGTTAAGACCAAATGTAGCAAATTAAAAAAGGATATTGAATCTTGAATGTCTGCAAAACATTGTAGCCTGTTTATTGAGGATTATTTTTCATTACATTTTCCTTGGAGTCAGCATTGCTGAGGATGCAGAAGGAAAATCTTGTCTATGCTTAATAATTGTAAATGTTTGTTTCTTCAGATATATGTTTGAAAGAGACCATGTCATTGGCTGATGGTCTGTATAATCTGCAGTTGATTCAGGACTTCTGTGAAGATTATTTAAACCAGTGCTGCCATTTTTTACTTGAAGATATGCTCTATGCTTCTTCATCGATTAAGGTAAAACTGACATGAATTAAATACACCAAATTTGCTTCATCGTTGACTTAAACTTTTTGATCTAATTGCGTTGTTAGTTGTTAAATTCATTAACAACTTTATTTAAGGTCAAGGAGATTTAGGTGGTAGCTATTAATTGTCTGAGTACAAGAGTTTAGAGAGCACCTCTAACATGGGGTGTAGAGTGAGAGGGATAAGGTTGAGAAAGGCAGTGAATTATTTCCACAAAAGAAATGTGACATGAATTAAATTTCACCTACTGGTTTGGAAACTATTAGTATGATATCATCCTTGTTTATGCGATACTGCCACGTACATATTTAAGCCTAATGTAGGGCAACAGATCACATGTAATCTAGCTGACATTGTCTAATCAGTACATGAGTTAGAAAGTGTGAAGAATTCTGTTTCTTGATTTACGCAGTTTTCAACATAGTTTAACACTTAGGTGTCGCATTACAAATATGCCACTTTGAGTCTGCATGCTCGCTGATTGCTTCCTTGCATTATAATGTTAGTAACCTTACCATCTGTTTTTAGTCCATGATGTTGCGTATTGAAAAGAGCTCAGAATTCAGCTGGCAGTTAGATCAGTGATAGATCTAAAGGGGAGCTGAGGAAAAATTCAGAGTTATGAAGATCTGGAATGCTCAACACGAAAAGATGTTTTACAATCCCAGATCAAAAATCATTTGAGCGAGGGATTTGTAATTGTATTTTAAAGTAGACAAAGTGGAAGATCCAGGGGCTTTAAGAGAATAAGGCCACAAGGTTCTGCAGTTTTAAACAAACAATAAATGTTACTGTAGAAGGGTTAAAACAGTAATTCTATCTACAATACATGAGCAACTTGTCTTTTAACACCCAGAATTAACCTTTTGGTAAATACAAGTAATAGATTGTGATGGTTGCACAAATAAAATATCAATTGTGATCAAGATTGATTCCACGATTGCTTATCAAATTCCACCAGATATTTATTATACAAGTTAAATTAAATTAAACTTAACAGGGATTACAATTCTTCACTTTTGCCAATCTGGCCTTGAAATTCCATCTCAAGAACCACACTGTCCACAAGACTATAACACGTAGCAATAGAGTAGGCCATTTAGCCCATCAAGTCTGCTCCATCATTTAATGTGTTCATAGCTGATCTGATAACCCTTAACTCCCCTTTCCTGCCTTTTTCAATAATCCTTAACATACATACTGATTAAAACCCTGTCTATATCAGCTTTGAATATCCTTCATGACCCAGCCCCTCCAGCTGTCTGTGGTAAAGAATTCCACAGTCTAAGAGAAGACCTCTAACCTCTAAGAGAAGAAATTCCTCCTCATCTTTGTTTTAAATGTGCAACCCCTTATTCTGAGATTATGCTGTGTCTAGTCCTAGACTCTCCCACAAGGAGAAACAATGTCTCTGCATCTACCCGTCAAGTTCTGTTAGAATCTAGTGTGTTTCAATAAAGTCGTCTGTGTCTCTCATTCTTCTAAACTCCAATGAGTACAGGCCTATCATCGCCAGCCTCTCCGAAGACGGTCCCTCCGTTCCTGGGATCAACTTAAGAGTCTTCTTTAGACCGACTTCAGATGCTGGCTATTTCAGTAAACCTCCTTGTTCACATGTGAATATTTTAGTCATGGGGTTGCTGCAGAGTTTCAGTGAAGCACAATGCAAGCTCGAGGAACAATACCTCATTTTCTGCTTAGCCACATGCAGCCTTAAGGTCTCAATATTAAATTCAATAACTTCGGAAACTGACTGTATCATGTCTGTTCCCCATTTTTCTTGAATCCTCTCTTGTCTTTCCCCCAACCCTCCAAAAGCCATATCTAGTTTCTGCCTTGTTTGCTCTGCACTTAATAGAAAGGACCGATTCTCTCCCTTTCGCACCTGTATTTACGTGCATTTTACATTTTTTTTCTTTCTCCACTATTAATAACTCCTGAGCGTCTCTCAAGTATTTAAAACGAAATGTTCAAACACCTGTCAGTTCTGAAGAAGTGTCACATGTTATCTCTGATTCTGTCTCCACAGATAGTGCCAAACCTGCTGAGTTCCTCCAGTATTCTCTGTGTTATCTTTTGAGCACACTATTCTTTAAATGTTACCATTTTCACAGAATTCAGAATGACAGAACAAATGACTTGAAGCATTCATCTATAATGGACAAATCATATGCCATTAATCATTTCAACAGGAGATTGGATGGGTAGTTAAGATTGAGGAGTTCTCAAGGTTACAGACCTAACGAGGGATGAGGAAATAAACATGGCTGCTCTTTCAAAGCACTAGCACAAGCACAACGGGCTGAATTGTTCCTTTCTTTAAAGTTTTATGATTCAGTACCTACCACCAGTTCCCTATTCATGTTGTAGATTGCCTTCATTTCCATGCTGTGTTGCTTTTGGTGGCTGTACTTTATACAGTGTCTTGTTTAAATGTGTCCTGAAGTCCATATTGTATTTTTAAAAAATGCGGGACATTCCCTTGTCTACCACATTAATTGAAGTAATTTAGCACCACCCTCTTCCAGTTCCCTGCCTAGAATAGGCTGGGAGACAGTAGCCGGGCGGAGCTCTGAAACAAGGCAGGAATACGCAAGATGGATGCTTGATGCCTTGCCAACTTCCCCCATTTAAATCCAGCATTGGAAGGGTTGAGGATTGTCCTCCTGCCCTCAGGCCCATGAAGGACCAATTAAGGGCTTCAAGGTTACAAAATTACAGGACAATAGGAAACTGTCAATTTGTAACCTTTGACCATGCAGCTGGATTATTGAAAAATATTGCAAATCAGTAACTTCCACTGTATAAGCTGAAGTGTCAATCAGTGATATCGTGGGCTGTTGTCGTACTTGAATTAGCCCACTGGGTAATGCAACATTGCGGTTCATATCTACAACCTACTAATGAAAATTGTCTGCAATTTAAATAGTTAAATTCTTCAAGTGGCTATTAAGTTATTGCCCATATCTGTGAAAGTATGAAGATGGGCATTAGAAATTGCCAGTGACTGTGAGCAAATAAGTGAGGTAGCGAGGGAACATTAAACTGCTGCAAGTACTTTTGTTAACTGGATTGAGATGAAGATTTCGTTTAATGTAGGTTTCCTTGTTTTGATGTAAAAATTTGCAGTTTTGGTTCTTATTTAGATCATAAATATATGACTTGTCTGTTTAAGATAACAGGCAAAATAAAATGGAGTGATTTTGAGATCGAATGGCTGTTTCCTTTGGCAGGGCAATTAATAAAACAGTATCATCAAAACAGTGGGGAGAGAGGAGTTTAGAGTTTTGCTTGAGCTGGTATTCAAACCTAAAAGGAAGAGTAGCTAAGAATCTGGAGCAGTGGAATTTACTGAAATACGACAGGGCAGTGCAATAAGTTTTGGATTACTCCAAGCAGAGAATTGGTTCAGCTAAAATTACCACCCAAGATTCTTTTGGAAGGCATCATTGCTATTTCATTTCAATGTCAGCTGTGCTCGTAAATGATCAGAATGCAAAAACTAATTTGCCTGTTTGAGGAATTATTTATTTTTGACAGCAGCTCAAAATGTATTTTTTCATTTGAACTTTTACTTTAAGATGATGGTTTAGTTTGGTATTCAAGATTTACCCTTTTTAAACTGTTTATCCTGCATACCTTTCATTTTGATCAACCATAATACTTTTGCTTTTTTCCAGGCTTGGTAAATCACTTCAGGCAGTTATTGCTAAGTAAAGACATGTCAAATTATTCTACTTACACCATTCTTCAGATTACAGATTTTACAGTAATTTGGGACTATGAGTCCTGTATCTCTCAAGCCCACAGTCATCTGATTGGTAGAGCACATCATTCCTATCTGTTTATGTTGATGTTCCATTGTGGCTGTCTGTTTCTCTACTGAGAGGGAAGGACTGCTCCAGGTTTGAATACCAATATCATGAATACGTGAAGATTTATTCTGGTCAGTCATTCTAGTTTCTGAGATACTTATTCAATTGAATCATTGCACATTCCTTCCTCAACTCTTAGTTCTTCATGGTCTAGCGCCACTTTGATTATTTTCTGAGAGTCACTTCCTGCCTATTAACTCTATTTCCTAACATGTTACTAAAACACCTTAACATTGACAACTTCAATTTCATCAGTCCCCTAACTCTTGTGGGCCTGCTTAAAACTTGAGACACTAAAGGGACACTTTGCCTTCTTCGAAGCTGACCCATTTGGCCACATATTCCACCATATGACCTGTCACCAATCATGGAAACAGATTGGCTTCCCTGACTAGGTCTCGCTCTTGAGCTGTGCCCTTTCTTTCCAGCTAACTTCTGTGAGCACATTATTTTTCTAACTATCTCATCTGCCAAGAGCTTATGCTGTGACAGGTCCATTATCAAAATCCACTCTCAGCTTTCCTTGCTTAATTACTCCATTGAGTAACTTTTCATTTTTTTGGTAATTTCAGTCTTCACCTAAATTGTCCTCCTGCACTGTTCTGGAGTTTTAAGCACTTCTAACTATTTTCAAATTAAAACAAAGAACTGCAAATGTTGGAAATCTGAAGTAAAAACAAAAAGTGCTGGAGAAACTCAGCAGATCTGTCAGCAGCACCTGTGGAGAGAAAAACAAAGTTAATGTTTCAAGCCCAGTAACCCAACATCAGTCCATCTGTAGGAAGGCCAAATAACATGTTAATGTTAAAGTTATTTGTTTGCCACATCACAGATGTTGAAACTTTATCTGTTTTTGCAATCCCCAGCCAACAAACATGTTTGAAGTATGCAGCTGACCAAAGCAAAACCTCTCCTTACTCTAAATACTACCTACTTGGAAATCAAATGCTTACTAGCCCTTTCTTCATGTTTACACATCTTCAGAAAATCCATGATGGACAGATCTATGAAAGCATTTAAGATGCACATGCAAAGGCACCTGAATTTTAATACTAAAGAGATAACAAAGTGTGGAGGTCGAAGAACACAGCAGGCCAGGCAGTATCAGAGGAA